GGCGGTGGTGGGGGTGGTGGCGGCGGTGGTGGTGGTGGTGGTGGCGGCGGTGGCGGTGGTGGTGGTGGGGGCGGCAACGGCGGCGGCAGTGTTGTTCTTGCTGTTTGCTGATTTTGGTGTTGCTGTTGTTGCCGTTGTTGGTTGCAGCAGCCTGGACTGGGTACCTGTTGATTGCCCATCTCCCTGTCTGCCTTCTTGCTGGAGCTACGGTTTGTGAATTTTGGGTTGTTGTGGGGCGTTTTGGCCCGGGACCCTCTCCGAAGTGACCCAAGACCCCCAGGGTCCCTAAACTTACCTGGGTTCGGGCTCCCTCCCTGGGCAGCGGAGGCTCAAGGCGGGCGGGGGGGTGAAGTGGGTTCCAGAATGACAGGACGGACTATGTGCCTGATTACGGGACTCGTTACCGGGAAGATTTTCGGGAGGGATTATGCGAGACGGACAAAAAGAATACACGCACACGCACACACACACACACAGACACGCACATATGCCTGTTCACACATGCACACAGACATAGACACAGACACAGTCATCCGTCCCATAATCGAAAAACAATCGGAATACGATCGCAAATCGGATTTCGGGAACACGTGATGGTTGACGTCGGCCGGTACCCGTCCCGTAAGACGTCCCATAATTGACAGGGTGCTGTGCTTGGATGGACGGCTCGCTTGCTATGTAGTTGGTGTACTTGCGTGGGTTGTTGGCGCGAGAAGCTATGCAATTGCCGTTCTATTTTAGGATAACTTTTTTGAAAAAACCTATTTTGCCAAAAGTTGCAAGTCGACTTAGCACGGTAGCACGTGGCACACACCGCTTGCTAAGTAGAGACCTTGGGACACGTAGCATCTGAAAAAGTTTTTCTGGTAATTCTTGGGCCTTTTCAGTCCTGGTACCTGAAAGATTGGGAAAATTGAGGGTTTCTTTTCTTTGACTCGCAAAGAGTCATGGGGTTAGAACTCAGTTGAGGCCCCAGTTCCACCAAATCCAGCACCACATCCACCACGTGGACGAGAACTTCGTTGACGAGCAGCACTTCCACAAGTATCACATCAACAAGCAGCACTTCGAGCGCAACTACTTCCATCACGTGGAGCAGTACCTCATCGACGAGCATCTCGTTGACCAGCAGCACTTTCAGCATGACATCATCAACAAGCACTTCGGCAAGCAGCACTTCGAGCACAAGGTCCACCACAACATCTACCACGACAGTGACGGAGTTTGATGCAGGGTTAGATCCCGGATTCGTGGTGCCGATCATTGTGGCTCCTCTTTTCTTCTTCTGCTGTTGCATAATAATCGCGCTGCTGTGGAGGAGGCGGCAGGCCAAAGAAAAAGAGAGGGAGGAGGAGGAGGAGGAGGTCGCTGCCGCAGAAGAAGAGTCCCAGCCCCAGCAGGAGGTTTGGGTATAAGCTGCACAGAGTTCGACGGTTCGTGTTGCACTAGGGTGCACATGCGTTGGACGTTTAAGTCTTCTGAGCTCACGTTGGATTTGACCTCATGCTGAAGGCAGAGTGTTTTTTCCTCATACAACCTTGACCTGCGCGCTTGGCGACCAAAACGCCGTCAGGGAGCGTGGTTGCATTTTGCCTTGACTGTACCATCCGCAAGCGCATTGAAGTGTCCTCAATTTTGCTTCAGTATACTGAAGTGCTTCAATTCCACAGTGTCCCTTTGTGCCTCGCATTTTGCACAGACAATTAACTAACGATCTTTGCCCCAATCTTCGCCAATCGAGCTGCTTCTCTGAGCAACCCAGCCCCAAAGGCCCTACAGATGTGAGCATGCACAGGTGCAGCCCTGCTGTCATCACGGATGACACTGAAGAGGTGGGGGTCACTACTGGGGTCACTGCGGGTCACTACCCGCCTTTTCGGGCCGTTTTGGGGTCACTACGGGGGTCACTACCGGGCCTTTTGGGGTCACTACGGGCCTTTTGGGGCCTTTTAGGGTCACTACTGGGGGTCACTACTGGGGGTCTCTACCGGCCTTTTGGGTCACTACTGGGGGTCACCACTCAGGGTCACTACCGGGCCTTTTGGGGTCACTACCGGCCTTTTGGGTCACGCCTGCCCAGGGCCGCGACGTCACGGCCTCGATTACGGCACGTTTTGAGCCGTCATTGCCGGGATCTGAGCTAGGGACCTCACAAAACCAGTCGAGGAAGCACAGCAATGCACAGCAGGCCTAGCAATAGCATTGGTGACACTGCCCCCTTGATTGCCGTGAGGTCTGTTAAGGACCTGATCTTCCAGATCGAGGAGCGCCAAAAGTTGGGGAGGCCACTGGTCAAGGTCAACTAGGAAAGACGATTATAATCGACCTGCCACGCTGCCAGGGCCCAGGAGGCGCGCCAGGCTGCCCTGCTAGCCCAGCAAGAGGCGCAGCGGCGCCGCCGCCAGCGGCCTGCTGTTCAGCAGGCGCCGCAGGTCGGCGCGAGCTTTTGTGCAAAGCCGAGCTTTGGTGCACCCGATCGAGTCTTCGAGGCGCCCCCATCAGGATCGATCCTTTCGGCGCCGTTTCCGATGCTCCTAGGCCGAGAGACGCAGCAGCCTGCGTCCAAGCACATCGGCTCCGATTCGGGGCGCGTGTTGTTGAGCGCAAAGCTTATTTCCCAAACCGAGGCCGACCAAAGTGCTCATCGAGGCCTTCCCTCGACGAGATGATAGCCCACCGCGGAGTTCGGGTGCGCGCATGCGTGCTGCAGCTCAGGCGCAGCTGGCGAAGTCCCAAGCGCAGCGCGTGGGATTCCACCTGCGGAGCGAGCGCCGGCGCCTGCAAGAAACCTTCCAAGGTGAGGCACCTCTTTGATGATTGCCTCCGGAGGGTGGCGCGTGCCCACAACTCCTGGCATCCCCTGAGGTCTAATGTCATCACGTTCCTAGAAGCAAGGTATTTGTTTCAAGAAGGCATGCAGGGGTCGGGAGACCTGTTTCATACACGAAGGACCCGGGCCAAACAACCATGCCCGGTGCATCGACTTCCTTGGCTCACCTCGAAGGGGTGAAGCTGATGCTGCAGTTCCCAGAGTGTGTTGACATACGTTACCCTGAGAAATGTTAAGGCCATCTAGAGTCATGAGAGGACTTTAGTGGCCTTTCTACAGATTGTGTTGAGGGAGCTCCCACGCGTTTGACGTCGGGAACAAAGCCGGCAAAGTGACAGCTTCTTGTCTTCGGGGGGGACGGTGGCATCGAGTGGTGGCTGAGTCACGTGTAGTGTAGGTGGTGCGGCTCCCCTCGGCTACCCTCGTCGCTACGGTACGTCTCTATGTATATTATTGCTATATATATATACACACACAGCAAGTGCCTGCAAGGGAACTTTAACTCAGAACTTCCCAGAAGGCCCAGGAAGGCGTATCTTCAATGACAAAGGGCAGGATTAAGTTCAGCAAGGAACACGCATCGGAAGGAGCCTAGGCAGGGTCAACAAATCGAAGCCGCCCCCAGGATTCATTTCCACGTCAGGGAAGATCTGTATGCTTGCAGCTGGTTCTGAGCTTTTTAGACTCATCGATTCAGGCAGTTGCAAGACGGCTTGCAGCGAAGGCGGAACTAGTAGCACCTTGCACTGAGCATCGTCGGGCCACGGCACAAGTGGAATTCAATTGTAGAGTTGGAATAAGACCGAGAAGCCACGACCGGTGCACGAAGCCAACGAGGAAAGCTTGCTGTTTCTTTATCCCGCTTTCTTGGGATCGGATATGATTCTGTGGCGGAGCTGCCATGGAAGTCATCGACGATGCAGATGTTTGCTCCTCCGGTTCGGAGGCCGTTGCCGGGCCCTCAGAAGAGCAGATGGAGTCACGATGTTGACCTGTGCGTGGATTGTTTGTGTCTGTGGGCAGCTATAGGTCGTGGAGGAAGAGAATCAGGAGCATGCCAAAGAGCATGCTAGCAAGAATGCTGACCAGAAGAGTTCCCGACACAAGCGGGATGCGCTGCGCCACTAGCCTGATCTAGATGAGCGTCTGCTGTGAGAGGTTTGTTCGAACTATGGCTTGAACTCACCAAAAATGAGCCACTGAAGGAGAGAAGTCCAGGCAGAAGCGCGTTCACGCGCAGTTGGAGGCCAAGCTGCAGACGATGCCCCTGCCCCCGGGCTGGGTCCGTGTGGCTTCCAAATCCAAGCCCGGAGCCTTCTACTACGCACACCCGGCCACGAAGCGCACTCAGGCCCCTCTGCGGATTTCCTTGTCGTGCTGCGTATTTCTGGGTCTGAGACAGAGGCATCTGAGCAAAAGTCTGAGCATCTGCTCATACCCTGCAGGCGCACCCGCCGGCGACGATGTACGAGGGCCTTCCCGAGCCTTCCAAAGTCCTGACGCCTGTCAGGCGACAAAGCACAAACATTATAAACAGAATGCTGTAGTGGTTCTGCTACTATAGGAAGATGCTATTGCTTCTGTTGCTGTTGTTGTTGCAGCTGCACGCGAGGACGATGATGACAAGACAGCGGTGATAATTGCTGGCCATCATGATGGTGGTGATGACGGTGGCGGTGGTGGTGCTGCTGCTGGTGTTGATGTTGACAGTGATGAGACGGACGACTGTGATGATAGTGGGAGTGCAACAAATAAGCGTTTCATCCACGTCTTACTGCTGTTCCGTGCAAGTTTTGTCAAAGGCCAGTGAACAGAGACTTGCTTGAGGTAGTGCGGCTGATCATGCTAAGAACCATGGGCGACCATTGTCATCAGTATCACGCTCTTACATTCCTGGATCTCTCTGCACCATCGTAGTGCGCTTGCCGCGTAGGTCCGATCATTGGCTCGTCCACTGTAGCCGTAGCCACAGCTTCAGACCCCAGCTCCCCATTTCTCGTTGCAGGGACATCGTGCAGGATGCGGCAGATGCGGCTCGCAAGGCAGCTGTTTTTTGTGCCTTGTGCTGAGCTGCAAACCCAAGATCTCGCTCCCCTGGGCCGAGGCAGAGGCCAAGAAGAAGGAGCGGGAGGCTGAGGACGGCCGTCTCGGCAGGGTGGATTTGGCTGTGCTGATCTCCTGGAGCTATCTCGCTGTCACCAGCTTATCGTACTGAATTGCAGTCCGTGCAAAAACCGGTCGCTCCCGTTTGCACCTCGGCTACTATATCGTGGCTTGAGACGGACAGTGGCTTTGACATCCGCTTGATGCACATGCAATGTGCACGAAGTTGTAGCCTTGCGGCACTTGTCGAGACTTATGCTTGGGAGCTCGTGCTTGTTGGATCTTGTTGGGGATTTTTCACTGTTCGGATTTTGGCCCTGGAAATTTCGCCTGCATGATTCCCCCGCCCCCCACTCGCCTCTCGTGTCCGCAACAGCCTGGACAGCACACTTTCCAGTGTCCTCGTTCAAACGAAGTTCGAACATGGTCCCAGACCAATCATCATCTTCGTGGTAGTTGGAAGAAGGACACTAAGGACACTGATGATGGCCATGATTAGCTTGATCTTTGAGGCACAAGGCCCGCGCGACGTGCGACTGCTTCCTAAACCCTTGGAGTTGATGAATGCCCACCCAAGCGCCCAAAGCTTTCCACTCCTAGGCCCTTGGGCTAGAGAGTAGACACCGTGAAGCTCCCAAGGGACAGGGACGGTGTCCGGACGAATGCACAGCAGACTTCGATTTTGCAAGTTGCAGATGACTGCAGCTGGATGCCGCAAGGAGGAGAAGGCCCGACTTGCCGCAAAGGAGGAGGCGGCGCGCATGCGGCGAAAACGCGATGAGGCCCTGCCGTGTCATTCCACAGGTATATCGTGTGCCACGCGAATGTCTTCTTGTATGTGGGTCATCTACCTGCAAGATCATGGAAGGTCGTTGCAGTTCTCCAAAGAAGGTGCATATATTGTGTTTACAATGACAGCTTAGGTGGCGAAAGTGCAAACCCTTCACAGTGCAAACAGTCTGCGCCGTGTAGAAATAATCTTCGCGTTCCCCTTGATTGACTGATAATATACTGATGCAACTCGGATTCGGATGACCCGACTGGCACACATCATCTTTAGGAGAAACACCACGCTTTATGAATGTCCTTGCCAGAAGGCCCCCTTAGACAAAAGGATGCCCTGCATCCTGCTTGCACGGTTACACTACGTAAAACCAAAACACATCATCATCATGAGCCTGAGACTAGCTGCCACAAGAGCCGGGGTTTACGGGAAGTTGAAGCTTTCGGGTTCGGGTCCACGCAGAGAGAGGTCCTTCGAAGAGCTGATGAGGAGGCGAAGCAGGAGCCGGGCCGTGGTTCAAGCACTGCCTGAAAAGATGCGTTTCTTCCGTTCCTCTGCGATGCGTTTTGCTCGGAGTTCGAAGTGTAGATGCTGCAAACTGGGATGGTTTCTTCCTGGTCGCGTGTCGACCACAAGCATTGAGCTAAATCGGTGCAGATGCCGCAGTTTTCATGTCTGATGACTATGCATGTTTTTTTTTCCGGACTCTCTTGACCAGGAGGCCGCCGCAGACGAGGAGGTGATACGAGCCTTGGCCGCTCGCAGGTTCCATGATGTTTCACGTGACATACGCTCTGACACCACTGACATCCACTGACACGACTTCGGCTGTTGTTGCTCCTGCTGCTGCACTGCCAAAGCTGCTGAGTGTGATCAACATGCTGGTAAATAAATATCTCCATGAATCTGTTCTCAAAATCTCTTCATCTCAACAAATGCGTCTCCTTGTCATCGTGATCTGAGCCGTCTCGCTCCTTTCATATATAGCAAAAAGCAAAGAAGAAACAAGTAGCGCGCCGTTGAAGCGGAAGCTGCCGAGCTCCCGAGGCAAAGCGAGGGAGAAGAGGGCCTTGGCCCCCAAGGAGAGCTTCGAAGAGGCGCAGGCGCAGAGTGCAGTGCGGCAGAGGGCGGCGGCAGAAAAAAACAAACACACAAAACAAACACACACACACACACACCCCGAAAGAAGGACATTCCCTCAAAAACTGTCGCAGATGAAGTCTCTCGAAGAGAAACCCCCCCCCCCGCGAAATTGTTCGCGCCTACTTTAAGACCTGGAAACCTTTCCAGGCTCCGGAGCGGAAAGAGAAGCGGAAGGCCACAGGCGCAATGATTGGCCTTCCCTCGTTCCTTGCTTTTGCCCTTCCCCTCGGACTCCACTGGCCGTCCTCGGATGTGAGCTAGCTCCTCTCGTTGAGGCGTCCGTTTCGACACGGCGAAGGGAGCGCAGGACGAAAACGGCTCGCCCTTGGCCGGGAGCGACTCCGAGGAGTTTTTGGTTTTAGGGTGAGTCTTCATTGCAGAAAAAACGGATTCCTGGCAGGAGCTGGACCTCTATCGCCTGAGGGACCAGCCTCTTGGCCCAATGTGCATGAAGGGATGAGGAGCGAAGAAACGTGAGATCCGAAGTCCCAGGTTCCGCGCCAAGGTTGCAGCCACCTCCGCGCCGGTCTTCGATGACTTGGAGGAGGCAGGTCTGGGCCGTTGGGTTGGAGGCGTCGTCCATGGGTACCTCGCAGGCAGCAGAGGCGGCGCCACCGCCGCCGCCTCCCCCGCTCCCTCCTCCCCTGCCGCCACCAGAGATGCCTCCAGAGAAGACCAAGAAGGAGAAGAAGCAGGAGCCACAGTAGTGCACGGCTCCGGGTGCTTTTCCAGCTTATAAGATCAGCGCCAGGAGAAGAAAGCCAAGCAAAAAGCGATGCTTAAATCCATGAGCAAGGACCCATGCTTGGATATCCATTCTTGGATCTAGGTGGTTTGCAGGGAAGAAGGCGCTGGATCGAGGGTGCCTGGAGGAAGCAGAGGAGGGTTGCAATGGAGGGTGTTTGGATGGAGGGAACTGCGTGGAGGAGGGGGCGGGGCTGCACTGGAGGGATGGATGGAGTGGAAATGCGGTTCGGTTCGTGCGGTTCGATGTCGTGTGTCGGTTCAGTGGTTCTCGGTTTTTACGATTCACACAGGGGTCGGTTTGCAGTTCGGTTCGCGGCCTTCGTGAAAGTTTCAATCCCTGGACCGATAAACCCCAAACTGGTGCGAGCTCTTGGAAACGCTGTGGTCTTCGTCCTTGCATGTCCTTACCCGTGATCAGATTGCTCAAGCATCCGTGCGGTCGCGATGCGCATTTCCTTGCCAGGAGGAAAGGAAGCAGTTTAAGAAACTGAAGAAGAGCCTTTTCCAAATGATCTTCACGTGTCGATGCAGGGGTCGTAAGCCAAGCAGAAGCCAGCGATCTCATGACGTACCACCTGTCTGAGGATGCAAAAGCTGCAAGCGAAAGTTGCCAAAGCCGAGAAGGCCGAATTCCAGCCTTATGCCATGTCTACAGTATTCAAAAGTGTCGCAGCCACTTGTGCACTGCTCATGTCTAACGGTGCAAGGCTCTCAAGAAGTCGGAAAAGCTTCTGAGGAGCCGCAGAAGCATTTTACTGACCTAATGTCAATTCCGCGAGTGAGAGGAAGACCAAGCATGGCGCCAGCCCTTCCAGCTCGTCATCCTCATCCAGCTCCTCCAGCTAGCCAGGCCGGGTTGTCCTCTTATGTCTCCCAACAGAAGGAGCAAGAAGAAGGCAAAGGGTCCCAGCATCACGTCGAGGGCTACAGAGTGTTGTTCGCCAATGCGGCTTCGGTGATAAATGAGTAGTTCAATTGAGTTGTACTGTGTGTGGACGTGATTCTTGTCGCACTTGCAGTGGCAGTTTTACCTATTCTTACAAAGTTCGTCGCGCGCCTTGTTTGCCTGGCTGAGAGAGCGAACCTGCCAGAACTATCGTCTTCTTTGCAGCGATGTGGCCCAACCTAAAAAGGAACTCAAGATATCTCTCAGTGTCGAGACATCCTGAACGGTGTGAAGCCTGCTGCGGAGTCTGAGAACCAACCATGATTATGCCTGCAATAAGATGCAATGATGGTGACGAGGATGATGACTTACTGGCAACTTCACAACGACGTGCAACCGTAAGGCGCATGTCAAAAAGCATGTTGTCCATGTTGACCATCTTGAGCAGTAGATTTCACTAGAGGTCCTTCTTCACAAAGCATTAGCATCAATGCTGGGCGGGCACTTCATGTAACCGAAAGGCCCTCGTGTTTTCTTGCATAAATGGATCGAATTGGGGTTGGAGGTTGCAGGTATGGCTTGGCAAACGGAAAATAAGACAGAAAGCGGGCTCCGTCGGTGAACCACGAAACAGGAACTTTGATCTTTTCAGGTCGCAATCCTTCTCCAGCGACCGCCGTGCGCGAGACAAAAAATGATGGGAATTTAATGATTAGTGTTTTCCGAATCTCAAGGATTTTCGATAAATTTCTTAAGTGGTAGGTTGTGAGAATTTCTTCAATAAACAGGAAAAAGTCGCTATTGTTTTAAATTACGGCCAGAATTAAATAGCTTTATATAAAATTAAATAATCATATAAATTCATGATAGAAATTGAAATCGGAAGCTTCTGAAATATACATTAGAAGATAGATATTTAGGATAAATTCTGATTTCTATAATTAAGATGATGAAGGCATTTCGATAGAATTCTAGTATAGAGAAATTCTGATGAAAAATTTTCGATATACGAACGATAATATTATTGTATATCTGATAATTCTTTTATTTATATAAAAAAACAAATAATTTTATGAATATAAGCATGGAAAGGAATAAGAAAGAAAAGAAAAACATCTAGAAATAATTAATATAGAAAAAATATAGAACCAAATAAAGAATTGAAGAAGAAGTAATAGGCTAAATTTACGATGAAAAAGGTATTTCGATATAATTCTAATGTAAAGAAATTCTTAAAAAATATTTTTCGATAGATAATAATATTATATATTTGATGATTCTTTTATTTATATAAAACTAATTTAATTAATATAAGAATAGAGAGGAGCAAGAAAGAAAGAAATTATTCGAGAACCAAATTAAAGAATTATTAATTAAGGATTGAATAAGAATAAATAGCAATTTTTTCGGAAATTATTTCCCAATATATTTGGAAATGATTTCTGAAAATATTTTGTTGAAAATATTTTTGGGCATAATAATATTATACTTATTTCTATT